GGGCTCTGCACCCCAAAGGGCTCTGCACCCCAAAGGGCTCTGCACCCCGATACCCCAAATGGCTCTGCACCCCGACACCCCACACTCTGTGCCCCACAGCCCCCCAGGCCCCCCAGTCCTGGCCGTGCCCCAGGGTCCGGCCCAGCCCCGCAGCCCCAGCCCGTGGTGTCGGGCCCGGTGCCATCCCTGCTGTTTTTGCCCCAAATCTGCGCAGATTGGGCGCTCCGTGCCCTACTTCTGGGAATTATGTGATTAGGGGGAATCTTTTCTCCCGGTGAATCGGGAGCAGGCGCCCGGCCCCGTGCCGGGTGAGGGGCTGCACGAGGGGATTTTGGGGGATGGAAAGCAGGAGGGGGCACAGCCCCGACCCCCCATGTAAGGGTCTGATCCTGCTGCCGGCCACATTCCAGGGCTGAGCCTCCAGACCTGTCCCCTCTGGAGGTGCCCGCCTGCCCTGGTGCTGCCACGTGCCCATGGGGATGGGCTGGGGGTTTCTGGGTGTCCCCAAACCCCTGGGGGTTGGCAGAGGGTCACATTGGCACTGCCACACACCCATAGGGCTGGACTCAGGGGGTCTTTGGGGGTTGGCAGAGGGTCCCGCTGGCACCTTGACACTGCCACACACCCATAGGGCTGGACTCAGGGGGGTCTCTGGGTGTCCCCAACCCCCTGGGGGTTGGCAGAGGGTCCCATTGGCACCTGGGCACTGCCACACACCCACGGGACCGAGCTTGGGACCCCTGGTTGCCCCCACACAGAGGGTCCCACTGGTGCCCAGGCACTGCCACACCTCCCACCTTGCAGAGCCCCCCCCCCAGATGCCTGGTTTCTGTTTTCCAGCACCAAATCCTGCCGGGAATCCTCTTCTTTTCCCTTCGATTCCTGCAGAAACCGCTGGTTTCCATGACACCCCCATTCCCGACGGAAGGCACGGGGGGGTCCCTCGGCCTTCCCGTGCCTTGGGGTGTCGGAGCCTGGATTCCCCCTTGATGTGCCCGGCCCAGTAACCCCCCAGTGACCCCCAGTGAAGCCCCCAGCTGGAGAACAGCCCCTCCCAGCACAGGGCACCCCAATGCCCCGGGGGTGGGCACTGCCCCCTCACTGGCTCAGCTCCAGCCTCTGCCCTGGGCTGGCTCCAGGGATTGCACCGGGCAGCGAATTTGGGACGTGTGGTGGCCTTGGCACCTCTGCCCAGCCGGGGTCAACGTGGGTGTGTGGTGACGGGGGGGGGTGGTGGCGTGTCTCTGTGGTGATGCCATCCCGGTGCTCCTGCGCTGGCACCCAGGAGTGACAGGGGGATGGTGGCACATCCCTGTGCTGCTGCCATCCCAGTGGTCCCATGCTGGCACCCAGAAGTGACAGGGTTATTGTGGCACGTGCCTGCAGTGCTGCCAGCCCAGCGTGGATGGCTGGGCAGGGAATCTGGGACGTGTGGTAGCCTTGGCACCTCTGCCCAGCCGAAGGGCACTCTGGCCATGTGGTGATGGGGTTGTGGTGCCATGTCCCTGTGGTTGTCCCGTGCTGGCACCCAAGGGTGACAGGGTTTGGGTGCCATGTCCCTGTGGTTGTCCCATGCTGGTACCCAGGGGTCACAGGGTGATGGTGCCATGTCGCTGTGGCTGTCCCGTGCTGGCACCCAGGGCTGATGGGGCTGTGGTGCCACGTTCCTGCAGTTCTGCTGTCCTGGTGCTCCCATTCCAGAGCCTGGGGGTGCCAGGGTTACGGTGCCATGTGCCTGCAGTGCTGCCAGCCCAGTGAGGATGGCTGGGCAGGGAATCTGGGACGTGTGATGGCCTCGGCACCTCTGCCCAGCCGAGGGCCACCGTGCCGGGTGGTGGCAGGGTTTGGTGGCACGTCCCTGTGGTGCTGCTGTGCCAGTGCCCGGGGGTGACAGGGTTATGGTGGCACATGCCCGTGGTGGTGCTGCTGTCCCGGTGCTCCCGTGCTGGCACCCAGGAGTGGCAGGGTGCTGGTGGCACGTCCCTGTGGTGATACCATCCTGGTGCTCCTGTGCTGGCACCCAAGGGTGACAGGGTTATGGTGGCATGTCCTTGTGGTTCTGCCATGCTGGCATCAAGGGTGATGGGGTTATGGTGGCATGTCCTTGTGGTTCTGCCGTGCTGGCACCCAGGGGTGATGGGGTTATGGTGGCATTTCCCTGCAGTGCTGGCACCCAGGAGTGACAGGGTTATGGTGGCATGTCCCCGTGGTTCTGCCATGCTGGCATCAAGGGTGATGGGGTTGTGGTGGCATGTCCCTGCAGTGCTGGCACCCAGGGGTGATGGGATTATGGTGGCATGTCCCCGTGGTGCTCCTGTGCTGGCATCCAGGGCTGACAGGGCTGTGGTGGCATCTCCCCGTGGTTTGTCCGGTGCCAGTGCTCCCGTGCCGGGGGTGCCAGCAGTACAATGGATGGATGTCCCTGCGGTGCCACTCGGCTCTCGGGGCCATGGGGGCACAGGTGACCTGTCCCTGAGGTCTGTCACCCCCCCACCCATGTCCCCAGGCCCCCCCAGGACATCAGCCTGGAGGAGTTTGACGACGAGGACCTGTCGGAGATCACGGACGACTGTGGCATCGGCCTCAACTACGACTCGGACCACTATGAGAAGGTGCAGGAGCCGAGTGGCCCCTGGGGTCTGGGGGGGGGGCACTGGCCTGGCACAGCTCCCCCCACAGCAGGGAGGAGTGGCTCCCACCCACCCAGCTCGGCCTGGCTGGGCGCTGGTGCCAGGACAGGCAGGGGGGAAGCCAGGCAGGGACTGGCAGAGCTGGGGCGTCCCTGGTCCCCTCTTGGGGACCCTTGGGGCACTGCCAACCCTGCCACGGTGGGGATGGTCACCCCGGGGGTGGGCACAGGGCTGTGGCGAGCGCAGGGCCGCGTCCTGTGCCCCCCTAACCCGGTGCCCCCTCCCCAGGACTGCCTGGTGCTGGACCGCGGGGAGCAGCCCCACCCCGTCTGCACCTTCCAGGACGACTTCCAGGAGTTCGAGATGATCGACGACAACGAGGAGGAGGAGGAGGAGGAAGAGGAGGAGGAGGAGGGCAACGATCTGGAAGCTCCGCCGTCCCCTTCGGCCTCACCCATCCCCTCGCCCGCCCTGGAGGAGACGCAGAAGCACCGACCCACCACCCTCAACCTGACGGCCCCGGGCACCCAGGTGAGGAGGGGGGCGGCCCGGAGGGGTGTCCCCACCCAGGGGTCTTTGCCACCCTGTGCCCACGGGGGGCTCCGTGGGTGCCCATTCACGCCGTGTCCCCCCCTTTCCCACTCTGGGGCTCCCCCGCGATGTGTGTTGGGGGGTCCCCGCAGGGGTGTCCCCGTGTCCCCGCGTCCCCGCGCACGCGTGTGCGGTGCCAGCCCCGAGCCACCACCGCAGTGTGTGGGAAGCCGCGTGCGGAGCGGCTCCATCCGGCTGCATCCGGCAGCGTTGCCATGGAGCCGGGGGGGGCTCTCGGGATTCTCGGCACCCCCCCAGCACCGGGAGGGCACCGCACGCTGCCGGGATGGGGATGGGGGGGGAAAGCTCTCGAGGGTGAGGGTCACCGGAGGGTGACAAAACCCAGGGGTCCCTCTCAGCCTTGTCCCTCCGTGCCCCGGCGGGTGCACCCGCAAAGATGGATCCCACCGGCAAAGCCAGATCCCGCTGGCAAAACCGGATCCCGCTGGCAAAACCGGATCCCGCTGGCAAAACCGGATCCCGCTGGCAAAACCGGATCCCGCTGGCAAAGCCGGATCCCGCCGGCAAAGCTGGATCCCACCGGCAAAGCTGGATCCCACTGGCCACCCCGGTCCATCGTCCCTCGGGGGGTGGGATGAGCGGAGCCCCCGGATCTGACCGGGTCCGACCCATCAGTGCCAGTAATCCCCGTGCCCTGTTCCCTCAGCACCATCTCCCCCCGCACCCATCCCCTGCACCCCCAGTACCTGTTCCCATCCCTCCCAGCACCCATCCCTGTCCCCACAGCACCTGTCCCCATCCTCCCCATTTCTGTCCCTGTCCCTCCCACACTCATCCCTGTCCCTCCACACCCATCCCTGTCATCCCACACCCATCCTTGTCCCTCCACACCCATTCCCACCCCGCATCCCTGTCCCCCCCCACCCATCCCTGACCCCCCCACACCCCTCCCGCCCCCCCGGCTCCCATCTCCGAGGCAGTGCCCCGGCCCCTCCCTCTCCCTCGCGGGTTCGTGCCCGGTGGCACACGGCGCCGGCCCCGCTCCCTAATCCCGGCTCGGTGGGATTAGCGCTGCCCGCGCTTCCCGCCGGGACTAATCCGCAGCTGCCGCCACGCCGGCGGGACAGCCCCGGGGACCCCTGGGCGGCTCCGGCCGTCCCGGGGGGCTCGGGCCCCACCGCAGGGCCACCGGCTCCGGGGTCCTGCCGGGGGGGTCGGGATCTGCTTGCGTGGCCCCGCACCGGGGGTCCCGGGGGTCAGTGCGGGTGCTGGCACGTCCCCCGTGGGGTCTGTCCGCGGGATGGGCACCGTGCGGTGCCGTGCCATCCCTGGGCCCTGGCAGGGGATCCAGGGACGCCCTAATCCGGATAAACCCCCGGCACGTGGCGCGGGGGCTGCCAGGCCGGTGGGAGCTCCGAGGGTCGCACCTGGGCCCGCCCCCGGCCCGGTACCGCCCGTGTCCCGTCGTCGGGTCCCCAAACGCGCCCTTACACCCCCCCCCTCCCCCGGGTCTCACCCACCCACCCACCTTGGCTCTGCTCTTCCCGCAGGATTCCCTGAACAACAACGGCAGCTTCCCACCGCCCGCTCACCGCACGACCTGGCAGGACGCCCTCCTCCACTCCTCCTCCTCCTCCTCTTCCTCACACACCGGTGAGCGCGGGGCGGGGACGGCCACGGGGTCCCGCCCCCGCCGCGGGGCCGGGGTGGTCCCGCAACCCCCCGGGGTGGTCCCGCAGCCCCCCGGGGGTGACACGGGGCTCTGCCTTCCCGCAGGACACTCGTCTCCCCACGCCTGCATCCTGGACGGACCCTGCCTGGAGAGCCCGCGGGGCCCCGGGGGGGCCCCCCCCCTCGCTGCCGCCCTCCCCCTTGGACTCGCAAGGCAACAGCCCCGAGTCCCCGGCACATGGTAACCCATCGCCCCCGAGTGCCGGGCAAGATTTTAACATGAACCTCATCTCCTCAGCGCTCCGAGCTCCGCTGTCCCCGCCGCGCCCCCGCCAGCCGCCCCCTCAACCGTGTCTCTCTCCAACAGGGCCCGCGGCTCCCCCCGGCCCCCCCGACGCCGGCCCCCCGCCCCCGGCCCCCGCCGCTGCCCCCCGCGCCCCCACGCAGCCCGAGGCGGCCCGGGGGGCCTCCAGCCCGGGGTCCCCCCGCCCGCAGCCCGGGGTCCCCCCGCGGCCCCCCGAGGAGCGGGCGGACGGCGGCCGCGTGTGCCCCCCGGAGCCGCTCAGCTCCGACGGGGAGGGCCCCCGGTCCGGCCGGGCGGCCAGCGTGCGCGGGCACCCCTCGGGCTCCTCGGAGACCACCTCGCCCTCCTCGGACCCCGGCATCGAGGCCGACCTCACCAGCCGCACCGCCAAGCCCTTCCTGCCCGGCGGGCGGCACGGGGAGGACCTGAGCTCGCCCGGCTCCGACTCGGACGTGGAGGGGGAGCTCGAGGCGGCCTTCGCCGGCGGGCGCCTGGTGAGCAACATGATCTCCTCCATCTCGGAGACCGAGCTGGACCTGAGCAGCGACAGCAGCAGCGGCCGCTCCTCCCACCTCACCAACTCCATCGAGGAGGCCAGCTCGCCCGGCTCCGAGGGGGAGCTGGAGCCGGAGCTGGAGGCGACCGGCCTGATGGGCATCAAGGACTCGCTGCTGCTCGACAAGGGCAAGGAGGAGGAGGAGGAGCCCGCGGAGAGGGGGCCGCCGGAGCGCGGCGTGGTGAGGAGGGAGAGCCTGGCCGAGCTGAAGATGGAGGGGTACTACGACAGCCTGGACCCGGCCGACCGCCCCGCGCCCGAGGGCCAGACCGAGGTCTCCGCCTCCAGCCCCCTGGACCTGAAGATCGACCCCGACCACAGCCTGGAGAGCATCCGCCGCTCCTTCTACCTGCCCGTGGGGCCCAAGCTGATGCCCGAGGCGGACGAGGAGGACAACAGCGAGTACGACTCCGACTCGGAGTCGGAGCCCGACCTGAGCGAGGACTCGGACTCGCCCTGGCTGCTCAGCAACCTGGTCAACAAGATGATCTCGGAGGGCTCGTACCCCATCAAGTGCCCCGACGAGTGCTTCCAGAACACCCACTCGCTGTGCGACACCATCTCCCCGGCCTCCGACCTGGAGCCCGAGATCCTGAGCGAGGCGCTGGACGAGGAGCCCGTCCCGCGGGACTCTCCGGCGGGGCCGGGGGAGGCGGCGGTGCCGCGGTGCCAGCGCGGCGCCATCGAGCTGGTGGACATGGAGACGCTGCGCAGCTCCCTGGAGCGCGCCGAGGACGAGCGAGGCCTGGACGCCGCCGCGGAGCCGCCGCCGCCGGAGCCGCCGGCCGAGGAGCCGGGCCCCTTCCTCTTCCTCAGCAACCCCACCAACGACACCATCGCGCCCGTCTTCCCGGGGCGCCCCGTCACCCTCGACAGGCTGGACGCCTCCGAGGTCCTGGCCACCTTCGGCTGCCGTCCCGCGCCGCCGCGCGTCCCACCGCGCGCGTCCCCTGGCGCCGAGCCCGCCGTCACCGGGAACCACCGCGGCGCCGGGGACCACCGCGGCTCCGGGGAGCAGCGCCCCGCCGGCCCCGAGGGCTGGGCCGTCGACAGGGACCTGGACTCGGGGGTCCTGGAGGCCGACGACATGATCGATGACGTCCGGTTAGTGCCCCCCGACGCCGGCCCCGCCGCGCTGGACGTCTCCACCGCCAAGACCAACCGCGGCTTCGCCATGGCCTTCGACGAGGACGAGGGGCCCTTCCCGCCCGGCTCCCCCTTCCCCGCGGCCCCGCGGCGGGGCAGCCTCGGCGGGGAGCTGCCGCCCGTCCCCGGGGCGCCGGAGCCGCCGGCACTGGACGAGTCGCTGGCCTACGACTCGGTGAAGTACACGCTGGTGGTGGACGAGCACACGCAGCTGGAGCTGGTGAGCCTGCGGCGCTGCACGTCCGTGCTGAGCGACGACAGCGACCTGCTGCGCGCCTGCGACCGCTGCGACGTGGACGACGAGGTGGCCTTCGGGGACGGGCTGGTGGCCCCCGACGCGCGCAGCTCCTCCGAGGACTCGTCCCCCGAGGCCGACCTCCAGTTCTCCAAGAAGTTCCTCAACGTCTTCGTCAACAGCACCTCGCGCTCCTCCAGTAAGTGTTGGGCCGTGTCGTGACGTGGCCGTGTCGTGACGTGGCGTGTCGTGACACTTTGTGCCAGGCTATGCTGTCCTGGACTGCTCTGCATGGCCTTGGTTGACTGGCTGCCCTTCCATGTCCTGCCCCTGCCATCCTGGCCGTGGCACCATCCCTGTGTCACGGGGTGTCACAGGGGGTCACAGGGATCCTCAGTCCCGCTCTGCTGGGTGGGGGGGGTTCAGTGGGACCCCTTGGAGAGGTGAGGGCTCCCTGCACCCCGAGGGTCCTGCAGCCCCCAGGGTGGGGTGGAGGGCAGTGACGGGTGTGTCCCCCACGCCCGGGGGGTGGGAGCCGCCCCTGGGCCTCATGGAAGCCCCCAACCTCCCCAGGCACAGAGTCCTTCGGGCTGTTCTCCTGCATGGTGAACGGGGAGGAGCGGGAGCAGACCCACCGCGCCGTCTTCAGGTGAGCAGCAACCCCAGCCACGGGTGCCACGGGGGGTCTCCAGGACCCTCTGCCTGCCCACATCCTCCACCCATCCCTCCACCCATCCCTCCATCCCTCCATCCATCCCTTCATCCCTCTCTCCATC